TCTAGGAGGCCTCCAGCCCAAGAGGTCCCCCACAGCGCCCCAAGACGGCCCCAAGACGGCCCCAAGAGGCGCCCAGAACGCGATCGTCCGACCACATCTACTCGGACCCCATCTAGGAGGCCTCCAGCCCAAGAGGTCCCCCACAGCGCCCCGAGACGGCCCCAAGACGGCCCCAAGAGGCGCCCAGAACGCGATCGTCCGACCCTATCTACTCGGACCCCATCTAGGAGGCCTCCAGCCCAAGAGGTCCCCCACAGCGCCCCGAGACGGCCCCAAGACGGCCCCAAGACGGCCCCAAGAGGTGCCCAGGACCGCCCAGGATTGCCCCGGGGGGGACCTCAGGAGGGGCCTCGGGGCGCGCCGTCGCTGGGCAAGCCCTGGCCGTGGCACGTTCCTTCTTCCGAGCATCCCTCGGGGGCGCACGGACAACTCCAGGCCTCCCAGAGGGGGTCGCAGCAGATGGGGTCGGAGGGGATCGCGCCGCATCGGCGATGCATCGGCGATGCGGCTCGATGCGGAGCCCGCTTTTCTCCACGCTGACGTCTCCGGTGCGTCGCCGACGTCGGCGATGCGGCGCGATCCTCTGACCCCATCTCTCCGACCCCAACCAGGAGGCCTCTAGCACAAGCAGAGGGCCCTGAGATCCTGGCGTGTCTTTCGTTGTTGTGAGCTTGGCGCTGTCCTCAGGTTTCGGGCCCCGGGAGCCTCACAGTTTGATCGGGCACGCCAGATGCGGACGCACCCCTGGAAGGGTCTAGGGACCGATTTTGAGCTCCGCTGTGCTCCGGAGGGTGGAGGAGGAAGGAAGAGGAGGAGGAGGAGGAGGCGGAGGAGGAGGAGGAGGAGGAGGAGGAGGAGGAGGAGGAGAAGGAGGAGGAGGAGGAGGAGGAGGGGAAGCCTCCTGAGAAGGCGGGAAGGCTTCCAAGAAGGCATGGGGGCGGTTTCGCAGAAGGGCCCAGGTGTTTCTAAGAAGGCTTTTCTGGGAAGCCTCTGGGCCCCTCTGCAGCGAAGCCCCTTGCCTCCCTTGCCAGCTTCCCCGCCTTCTCAGAGAGCAGCCCCCCCTGGCGCCATTCCATGTGTGCGCGCCGCTAGATGGGAGCTGGCCAGGAAGGGTGGGCGCAGATCGGGGGCAACGGCGGGAGTGGACGGGTTCAGCTGAAGAAGAAAGAACACCGTAAACATTGACTTTTGGCGCTCCGCGCGGACTTCTTGGATCCGCGCTGGGCGCCCCCCCTGGCGGCGCCTTCGGCGCCGCTCCTGGCGCGCTCCGCGCGCCAGGGAGGGGGGATCCAGCGCGGATCCGAGAAATCCGCGCGGAGTGCCAAACGTTTATGCTTACAGTCGGGGTGGATTGGAGAGGACACGCGAGAGGCCACAAGACCCTTCCGATGGCCGCATTGCCAGCGGAACGTAGAGGGCATGGGTCGCGAAGCACAGGGTACAATGGTACCCTTGTTTGGGCAGGGTCGACCTACGAATCAAACTCCATTGTACGGCGTCGTTTCTTTCTACGGGCGGCTACCACATCTGTACTTGCCCACGGCCTCGCGGGCCGCGCCCCCTGGGGTGCGAGAGCCTCCACTGTGCCCATCGGCCGTTTTTGTCGTCTTATGTTTCTGCCAGAAGTTTGATGTGTATGCCGTTCTTCCTCCTTGCGTTCGAGAGGGATTCGAGGTGCGAGGTGTCAGGGCGTTGCTGCTGGCCTTCTCGCCGGCGTGCTCGGCGTGTGCGCCCCATGTGCGAGGAGGGGTTCGAGGTCGAGGTGCGAGGTGTTATAGGGAGTGGTTGCTGGCCTTCTCGCTGGCGTGTTCGGCGTGTGCGCCTCGTCTGCGAGGAGGGCTTCGAGGTGCGAGGTGCTAGGGCGTTGTTGCTGGCCTTTTCGCTGGCGTGTTCGGCGTGTGCGCCTCATCTGCGAGGAGGGGTTCGAGGTCGAGGTGCGAGGTGTTCTAGGACGTCTTCGCTGGCCTTCTCGGCGCTCTCCCACACCGAGGATGCCCTCTCCCAGCAGCGGCTCCTCGCCGAGAGAGTCTGCTCCCCCGGGGGCGCCCAGGGCCTCCCGAAGAAAACGGCCCGGCGCCCCGACCCCCGAGCTCCCGCGGACCGCGCCGAGGAAGGCCACCCCGTCCAGGTCGATGTCCCCCCCGCCTCGATGTCCTTCCCCTCGATGTCCCTGCCCCTCGAAGAAGAAAAAGCGCCATAAACATAAACGTTTGGCGCTCCGCCCGGAGTCCTCGGATCCGCGCGGGGCCCCACCCACCCCCGGCGGCGCCATCATTCTCCTCATCCGCCTCCTCCTCCTCTTCCTCTTCCTCCTCCTCATCCTCCTCCTCCGCCTCCTCCTCCTTCTCCTCGTCGTCCTCCTCCTCGTTCTCTTCCTCCTCACTATCCTTCCGTTCCTCCTCCTCCTCTCTCTCGCTCTCTCTCTCTCTCTCTCTCTCTCTTTTTCTCCCAATTTCGCTCCCTCCCTCATCCTGATCCTCTTCCTGCTTCTTTCTCCTGCTCCCCCTCCTCCGCCTCCTACTCAGCCTCCTCCCCATCATCCTCCGCCTCTCCCTCCTCCTCGTCCTCTTCCTCCTCCTCCTCCTCCTCCTCCTCCTCCTCCTCCCTCCTCCTCCTCCTTCCTCCTCCTCCTCTCCTTCTTTCCTCCTTCTCCTCATCTTCCCCCTCCTTCTTATCCTCCACCTCCTCCTCCTCCTCCTCCTCCTATTCCTCCTCCTCCTCCTCCTCCTCCTCCTCCTCCTCCTCCTCCCCCTCCTCCTCTTCCTCCTCCTCTTCCTCCTCCTTCTCCTCCTCTCCCTCCCTCAGGAGGAGCCCATGCCACAGGGTGGACGAAACTCCGCCCCCAACCACGTGCTGATCCTCCTCTCCCTCCAGTCTTCGTTTCCTCCTTCCTCCTGGTAATCTTCTTTCTCCTCTTCCTCCGTCTCTCCTTTTCCTCCTCGTCCTCTCCTCCTCCTCCTCCTCCTCCTCCTCCTCCTCGTCCGCCTCCTTCTCCTCCTCCTGCTCCTGCTCCTGGTCCTGGTCCTGGTCCTGGTCCTGGTCATCATCTTCCTCATGCTCCTCCTCGTCGTCCTCCTTCTTCTCCTCGTCCTCATCATTCTCCTCATCTTCCTCCTCGTCCCCCGCCTCCTGCTCCTTCTTCTCCTTCTCCTCCTCCTACTCCTACTCCTACTCCTCGTCCTCCTCCCTTCTCTTCCTCCTCGTCCTCCTCCTCCTCCTCTCCTCCTCCTCCTCCCCACGCGGCTGTCATTCCCGAGGACGCTGGCGACGTTGGCGAAGCTCTAGCGTCTGAGTGGGCAGGAGCTGCAGTCATTCAATGCAATGGGCATCACCTCCGACGTGCAGGGCCTACGGTGTTCTGCGAGGTCTGTGTTGCCTGGTCAGCAGGAGGTGTATCCAAGCAATGACTGGCGGAGTGCTGTGGTATACCTAGTGATAGTGGCGAAGGCAAGGGCAAAACGTTCCTCTCAAATATGGACTCGAGGAGACGGCGCTTGTTGAAGGGTATGCATCCCAAGGACAACGTCAAGCTCACCTTGCCCACTGTTCCCCAAGGGGGGTTGGCAAAAGTATCTGCTGCGGCGACCTGATGGACGTCTTCTGTGTGTATGCACTGGCCCCAGGAGAGCGACCCGTGAGGGTGTTCTGGCCAGTCGTTGGTGACGACTGCGTTTGCCTCTCCGAAGGCAAGTTTTCTTGCCCAATGGGTCTAAGGGGAGCGACCCGAGAGGGTGTTCTGGCCAGCTGAGCTGTTTGTGACGGCTGCGTTTGCCTCCCCGAAGGTCTGGGAGCATGAGAGCGACCCGAGAGGGTGTTCTGGTCACTTGTTGGTGACAGGTGCGCTTGCCTCTCATGGCTCCTTTCCCAGCAGAAGCGACCTGTGAGGGTGTTCTGGTTACCTGTTGGTGACAGGTGCGCTTGCCTTCTGCGGGGGTCGGGCCTTGGACATCGGTTTCACGCTACTATGATGTGGGGGCGGGCTGCCCCTGTGACGTTTGGTTGGTGGGCACTACCTGGATGGAGTTTTTGTGGCTTCCTTCGCTGGCATTGGTAGGCGAGACGGTGGTCGCGCCCACTGGGGATTGAGAGTTGATGGCCTGTCTGGCCGTTCTGGGGGCAGGCCCTCCTGGATGGTGGTGTTACTTCGATAGCCCGTCTGGCCCAGCCGGGGGACGGGCCATAGTGAGGGTCTCAGTGGCGTCTGTGGATACGTGAGGACACGGACGTCGTCCTCGTTTGCGTGCCGACGGTGTTTGATCGTTGGTTCTGTTTTTGGCTGTGGGTCCTCAGTCACCTTGCGAGGGTCGGCAGCCGCTACATGTTGCCCGCGGATCCCCCAGGGAGAGCGGGCGCGTCGTCGAAGGCTTTTTGGACGGCTTGTCTGGCCCCTCCTCGGCGACGCATCTTTCGTGGCAGCCATGCTCTACGCCCTCATGGTGGACATGGGCTTCTTTATTTCCCACGTGGCTCCCCTCCTGGGAGAACGGGAGCGCCGCCGCCTGCTACGCTGATGGCCCGTCTGGCCCCTCCTGGGGGCGGGCCCACGCTGGAGCTGGTGGCGGGCGCCTTCACCGTCCTCGCCTGAGGACGCGGCCGCCTTGGCCGTCCCGCCTGCTGCTCGTGTCGACGGACGGTTGCGCCAGGCCTCGTTCCTCGTTCTTCTTTTCCGCCTCTTCTTCCTCCTCCTCCTCCTCCCTCCTTCGCTCCCTTCCTCCTCCTCCTCTTCCTCCTCCTCATCATCATCATCATCCTTCTCCTCATCATCATCATCATCATCATCATCATCATCATCATCATCATCATCATCATCATCATCCTCACCCTCACACCCACCGTGATCCTCTCCCTGCCCCCCGGGGGAGGCCAGAGTTGCAAACCTGCGGCGCCTCGCCGCCGAGCTGGAGCGCACTGGCCTGCGCGAGGCGAGGCGGGCGCGCGCCGGGCCTCCTCGAGCGGGCGCCCTACGCGGGTCCTGCTCGGGGAGAGGGATCTCGGCGCCTCCCCAGACGCCCGGGCGCTGAGGAAGCGTCCTTCCCTCCTCCTGAATCCTCCTCCTCTTCCTCCTCCTCCTCCTCCTCTTCCTCCTCCTCGTCCTCCTCCTCCTCCTCCTCGTCCTCCTCGTCCTTCTCATCCTCCTGCTGCTCCTCCTCCGCCTCCTCCTCCTCCTCCCGCTGTGGGGGGGATCTCCTCGGCGCCTCCCCAGACGCCCGGGCGCTGAGGAAGCGTCCGCCAAGGGAGGAAGAGCCACCCCGACCCCGATTTTTCGCGTTTACAAAACGGCCCTGGTCAACTATTCCGAGTTTCTTAAGAAGCGTCGGGGGGGGTGGCGCCACCCCCGCCGATGGCCCCACATAGATCCCCGTCGCGGCGCGACGACGAGGCGAGGTTGACCCCCGTCGGCGGGGGTACCCCCCCACGCTTATTAAGAAACCCAAGTAGCGTGTACGAAACGGCCCTGGGCGTTAACTAGACATAAACAGCCGTGTCCTGTTCGAAAACTTATGTGGGCGCGTTTGCTCAACGGTTTCGCTGGTCGGGTTCAATATAACGAGGGTGGATGTCCTGCCCTGGGGGATCTTCTCGGCGCCTCAACGGCCACGCGCAAAAGGGGGGTAGGGGATAGGGGGAAGGGTTCAAAGAAGCACCCCTGCTCCTGAGAAGGCGCGGGCCTTGGCTGCAGTTGTACGGCCAGCGCCTTCTCAGAGGCAGCCTCCCTCCACAGGCCGCGATCACCAAGAATTGTGCGTGTGTCAGAGGAGGAAAAGATACCAATATCGTTGCCTTCCGTCGTTTGCCCCGTTTTGGGCCTCCTGGGAGGCCCTCATTGCCACCGTTGGGATCGCCTCGAAACTCTGGTCCTGAACGCACCCCCTGAGAGGTCTGGGGAGTAGCGGTATCTCGGCAGCGAGCGAAGGGTGGGAAGTGAAAAGGGGCGGGCTTGTTCAGAAGGCTCGGAAGTCCCCCAGTCGCCTGAGAAGTTTTCTACATCTCCCCCGAAGACTTCAAGAAACTCCAAAGAAGGCCCCGCCGCCTTCTGAGAACGCCTTCTCCTTTTCACCCCGCGCTCGCCGCCCACAGAACGCACCCCAAGAGAGGTCTGGGGAGTACGGTCAACGCCCATGATAGGAACGCGCGCCGTGTCTACGGTACCCTTGGGTCCCTTCCTGCCTCTGCCTCTGCGGCCTGTCGTTTCCAAGTTGTATTGGCCAGCCTCTCAGGGTACCGTCGGGGCCCTGAAGAAGGAACCCTTTGCGTTGGGGAGGGGCTCCGCGTTCCTTGAGTGCTTCACAGCTTGCCCCAGGTTTTCCTTAGGTGCTCGATGGGACATCGAGCTTAAACTGATGGAACAAAAAAGGGGCCTCGTTCCTTATTTGGGGTTCCTTAGGTCAACGCCCCGACGGTGCCCGTGGGGCGGGCGCCGTCCCTCGGCTGCGCGGCGGGGCGTTCCCAGGGGGGGCAGTTCTAAGGACGCACCTGGCACCGCTCGGACGTGTGCATGTTTCCCTTCGGCGAGGACAATCGAGGAACATCCTTGATCATTTGGCGAAACAACCACGCACGAAACCTAAAAAAAATACAAAGAATGGACGTCCGAGCGATGGCGAGCGCGGGCAACCAGGGTAACCTTGGCCGTCCTTCGGCCCGTCGCCCTCGTCCCCGCCATCCGTTCCATTTGCGGGCGGGCGTGCAATGTTCAGGAGGAAAAGAAACACACAGACACAATGAATCCTCGATTCCCCCGAAAATATTGAAAAATGTGGGAAGGCGGGGGGAAGACAGAAACCCAGAACATATTGGAAAATATGGCGAATAGTGTTATTTGTGTGTATTTATTTGTGTCCTGGGGCCCCTTCAAATGTAGCGGTACAGTGGGGGCCCATAACAAGAAGCACGTTATTCGCCTCCAGGGTGCCTTGGGTTTCTCTTGGATGTCGATGGCGTTGCTGTGGGAATCGGGGCGTTCCCGCACCGCAGAAATCCATGGACGTCCTGGGGTCTCAGGGTTGGGTTCCTCGTGGAAGGTGTCTTGTGGTCGGGCCCCGACTGTACAATTGGGGCCCTGAAGAAGGAACCCTTTTGGTTGGGGAGGGGCCCCGTGTTCCTTGGTTGCTTTTTACAGTGCTCCCTGGGTTTTCCTGAGGCCTTCCATGGGACATCGGAGGTTGCTATATGGGAGACAGGGGCCTCGCTCCTTCTTTCTCGTTCCTTAGGTCAACGCCCCGACTGTATCTGGACCTCTTGGTTTCCCCGGTGTGTGTGTGTGGAGTGCGGGCGCCGGGCCTCTCCTCCTCGGCCTGCGCCGGGGGGGAGGCCGCCGCTCCTGCGGCTCGGGGCCCGGCCGCTGCCGCTCCTGCGCGCGCGGGGCTGGCCTTCTGCTGGGCTTCCGGGGAGGGCGCGGGCTCGGAGGCCTAGAGGGTGACACCAACACCAACATCGGCGGCGTGTTTCCACCGAGGGAAGATGATCCCGATCCAGGTGATGGTGGTAATATCATCGGGCTTTCCAGGTGGCCGAAAGATTACCACCAGCACCAACATCCAGGATCGTCTTCCCCCCGTGGAGGCAACCCCTGATGTTGGTGTTGGTGCCAATTTCCAAGCTTCAACAGGCGTGGGCTGAGCGACGGGCCTTGCGTTAAGTCGGGCATGCCGCTCCGCAGGAGGAAGATTCCAAGTTGGTCCGAAAAGTAGTGCGGGGACGATTTGTCTGTTCTACTAGTTTTGTGCTTATTTCTTGACTCGTGCTGATCTTTCTCCCAAAATCCGCCTGTCGGAGGACACGCCCGACCTGAGTCTTGCGCGAGATGGCTTAGCGACCTCACGCGGCGGCTTACGCGGGCCGCCAGGGCGGCACGCCACAGCGGAGACGACGGCGCTCACGCGCGGCCTTGCGCGAGCAGCTTACGCGCCTGCGTCGGCGTAGACGACCCCGCTTTTGTGGCGTCGCTCGCGGGTGTGCGTCGGCAGCTTTTTTCACCGCACCGTGAACACTCGATGTTTTTTGTTCAGAGGGCGAATTTCGGTGCAATTTTTGGATGTGGCCACTGCCTGTGGTCCTCTTCGGTGTGAAGGGGGTGCGGGAAGGGACTGAGAGGGAGGGGCGGGGTGGGGGGGGGATCACAGGGGGGGGGGAGCGAGGGTCGGAACAACAGGGGCTCAGCGAGGGACGCGACGGGAAGAAAGGGAACTCGGGAGGGGAGGTCGGATGCCGACCCGTCGTGCGGCGCAGTCGCTCAAAGCCCCAGGGAAGAACCCGAAGCGGTGTGAAAGTTTGGTGGGATGGGGGGCCTGTCGAGTCTTCGGCCGAGCGGTGGCCCAGATGCCGAATCTCGTGCGCAGCCACTCAAAGCCAGAAGGAAGAGCCTGGAGCGGTGTGAGCGCCCGTGGGGGTCTACGGGGGGGGCCTGGCGGGTCTTCGGCCGAGCTGGTGGCCTCTTGAGAGGCGCGAGGCGTGAACGCCTCGGGGGAGAGCAGGGCTGGACCCAAACGTAAGCGCCGTGTTGATGGACTTGGGCTGTGCTCTGTTGTTCCTTTTTGGCAGGGGGGTGCAGGAAAACAGGTAGAGCAAAACGAACGCACAAAACGAGACCAAACCGACTAGCAGCATCTCGGTCCAGCCCTGGGGGAGAGGCCTCTTGGGCCTGCCGCCGGGTGCTGGGGTGCCCAGGCCGCGGCGGAGAGGCTCCTCACAGATCCGGGGGGTGGGCCGACACACTGCTCGTTTGGATTCCTTCGACTCGATTCGACTTCGATGCATTCTGATTCCGATTCGACTCGACGTCGGATGCCGATCAGGACTCCGGTTTCTCTGCCGATTCCCGCCGACCCGGCTCCTCCCGACTTGGCTGCCGATTTCCGCCGATGCGATTCCCATCGATCGGCGCTTCGACTTGTCGATTCGGTTCTGGGCTCTCCTGGCCGACAGGCCGGGACAGGATCTCGTCGGCTCGCCTCGTGCGTCACTGCTCGCACTTCGCGCAGTAGCGCCCCTTCGCCCGGGCCGCGGGCGCGGTGCGCGGTCGCCGCCGCCGCGGCGCCGGAGCAGTCTCGCGCGCCTATCTCTTGCGGCATCCAAGACGCGAACCTCTCGTTTCCTCCTCCTCCTTCTCCTCCTCCTCCATCTCAGGTCCTATCCTCCTCCTCCTCCTCCTCCTCCTCCTCCTCCTCCTCCTCCTCCTCCTCCTCCTCCTCCTCCTCCTCCTTCCTTCCTCCTCCTTCCTCCTCCTTCCTCCTCCTTCCTCGGGGGGGTACTCCTTCCTCCTCCTCCTCCTCCTCCTCCTCCTCCTCTTCCTCCTCCTCCATCTCAGGTCCTCTCTGGAGCTAAATCCCATTCCCACAGCCTGGACTGTCGTCCAGCTGATCGAAGAGTGCGCGGGCTGCTGTGCAGCAGCTGATCGCGAGTCGAGGTTGAGAAGATCTATCCGTAGGCCCAGAATTTGGAGCCCAACTGTCCCGCTCCTCCCAGTCTATGCTGATATTCAGGATGAAGACGATTGTGAACGTATGCAATGAGGTCTAGACACACGTGTCCGTGGCCCAGCAGGAGGAGGCGATTGCATTTGCGGAGCCCTGGAACCGAGCAAATGCAGGCGCGCATGCGAGGTATTGGGATTATATACAAACAGTGGGCATATTTGAAGACCACTCGGTATAGAACCATGCGGGCTTGGCTTTTGGCGGAAGTGGATGCTTGGCTTTTGGCGGCGGTGATGTCGAGCACGAGCAGTACAGTGGCCGACTTCTCCTCTCGTCGGGCGGCGGCGTCTGCCGCACACTCTTGTCTTGACGGTGTCGCCCAGTGCCGCCAGGAGGAGGAGGAGGAGGAGGAGGAGGAGGTGGAGAGCGCGGGTTGGGGGAGGGGGTCTGCACGCTCATCTTGGGCGCCTGCAGGGGGGATTGACCCGGGGGGGCTGCGATGCAACTCCTGGGAGGTTGGATTCTGTGTCGGCGCTGGTATTCTCGCGGTCGCCAGTCCCTCCTGTTCCCCTCCCACCCACTCCCGGTCGCCGCTTCTGCTTGACCATCACCTTCTCCTGTCCGTCATGATGGACACATGCGGTGCGGTTTGCTCACGTTCTTGGTCTGCTTGGCCCGCTTCGCTGCCCCTTGCCCCCTCCTCTGCCCAGGCACTCACCAGCTTGGAGGCGGCGGTCACGTGCGGCTCTGCCGGTGCCACGCCTAGCTCTGCGACCCTCGTGGTGCACGTGCCCTGCCTGTCTTGCCTCGCGGAGTGCAAGGCAGGATCCTCGCGTTCCAGAGGAGCTTTGAACCTTGCTCGGAGGGGAGGGAGCTGCAGCTCCACGGCCAGTGTGGGAAGCTGGGGGTGCACAGAGCAAGGCTGCTGGGAGGGCAGAGGATGCAGTTCACGGTCACGCTGCCGAGTCGTGTCGAAACGAGGACGGGGCCATCCCCATCTGACAGCGGTCGGCTGAGCGCAGGGATCGTCAAGGTCAGGTGTCCCGCACGTTCTGATTCTCGGGCGAACATGCACCCATCGGTCGCTGAAAGTGTTCATGTCTGGGATCCCCAGATTCCGATCTACTTGAGGCGCTTTCCCATCTCAAGGATCGAGTGGTTTTTCATCTTCCGTCGTCTTCATCCGGTGGACGGGCAAACAGTGGTCGCCGTAACAGCGTAGTCGTTTCCCGTGCTCGGTATTGTAGGTGGGATAAGTTGGATATGTTTGTTCTTCAAGCAGATTCAGGCACGTGTGGTTAGCGTTCTCACTCGATGCACTCGCACACGTGAAACGTAGGACCATGTGGCCCGTACCTCCCTCTATTTCTTCTGCGCGCGCTGACTGCCACAGACACCAGATTCCACATCGCTCCAGGGAAGACCCAAAGGTACCGATACCACTGCTCCCCAGACCTCTCCCGCGCTGCGCTCTGGCCAGGATCTCGAGGCGAATCCAGCAGTGGCGACAGGGGCCCTCCCGGAGGCCCAAGAAGGGGGAGGCGGGCGAAGGGTAGAGGTATGAATGCCTGTTCTTCCTCTGAGCTGGGTGTCAGAGACCGACGCCGGGGTCGTCGCGCCACGAGCTCGGCATGATTATCTATCGTAGCGGCCTTCGGCCCATCCCGCCACCTCGGGGGCTCGAGGCGCAGAGGGCGCCCGGTCGAGAAGCGCCGCGGCGGCCCGGGATGCGGGCCTCTCGGGGCCCTCCTCGCGGCCTGGCTCGGGTGGGCTTCCTGTGAGCCTCCTGGGAGCATCTTGTCTCGGGGGCCTCTCTCCGGGCCTTCTAGCTGTAGCAGATGGGGTCGGAGGATCGCGCCGCATCGCCGATGCATCGGCGATGCATCGGCGATGCGGCTCGATGTGGGGCCCAGTTTTCTCCACGCCGACGTCGCGGATGTATCGCTAACGTCGCCAGTGCATGGCCGATGCATCGGCATCGGCGATGCATCGCCAGTGTATCGGCGATGCGGCGAGATCCTCCGACCCCATCTACTCGGACCCCATCTAGGAGGTCTCTGCTCTTGCAGACATGCTCGCGTCTTGAAGACATTGCCACGCGGGGTTTTTGGCTGTCTTCGGCTTCCGGGTTCCCTCGACGGGCCACGGGACCGTCGACAACGGCTCGGGATGATAGGTTTCGGCCCCGAGGAGAAAAGGGTCGGGACTTCAGGGGGACCCCGCATGGAAAAAGTCCAGACATCGCATGTCTGGGCTTGGAGGGATCCCTCGTGGGCCGTTGCGCGCGCGGACACGCCTGTGGTCTTGTGGCTGGGCCAATCAGATCGCACGCCAGCTTTGGAAGTGGTCGCAAAGGAGGTGGTGGCTACCAAGAGAGACGCCGATCCCCAAAGGTACTGAACGATCAACCTCGGAGCTTCGAGCTTCCAGGGAGCAGTCGTTTCTGGTAACAGCTGATCTGCGTGGCAACATGCCTGAAGTCGTCTGACGAAACACCCTCAGGGTCAGCAGTCCGGGTGAAGTGCCGTTGTCGCGTTGTCGCCAGTGCAAGTACATTATGGCATCGTGTACACGCTGGTCGTTGAAAGCAGGTATTGCTGTATTCCCAGATCCCAGCCAATTTTAGGAACCTTCCTGCCTCAACCATTGAGCTTGTTTTTTTTCTTCTTCAACCTGAGGGGGCGGCGGAAATCCTTTCTACTTCCAACGCCTTCGACTTCATATTTCTGTACCAGTCTGTACCCACCTTTTCCGACCAGCGTGTATGGGTTCTCTGCCCGCATGCACTGGAAGCAGCGAGGTGCCAAGTTGCTGGCGGACATGGAGGAGAAGATCTCCCTGGCGCTGGCACTGGTGGAGGCCTCCACTCGGGGCCAGGGCGGGACCCGACGCAGAGCGACCGACATGAGCCGTGCACCAGTCGGAACGAGTGTCGGCCTCGCTGCAGTGCACAGAGGCTCGGTATTGCTCGGACGTGTGCGTTGTTCCTTGGCGAGAACCATCGAAGAGTTATTTGGACCATCTTACAAAAACAAGCACACGCGAAACCGCAAACTGCACGGGGAATGCACGTCCGAGCGATGGCAAGTGAACGGGTCGGGCATTACGCGCATCCGCTTTCGGGCGTGCTCGAGTAGCTGGGCGGATGGAGCCCAGGAGTCCGTGTAGTGCCCTTCTCCTCCCTGTTCCTCCTCCTCCTCCTCCCCTTCCTCCTCCTCCTCTCCCCCCTCCTCCTCCTCTCATCTCTCATCTTCGGGCTCGCCCCGCAACCTTCAGTGAGTGGTTAACCCAATTGGTTGGGACACATGCTTCGAACATTTGGGCGTTTCTGGTTTCCCCAATAGATCGACCACTGGGCAGCCGTCTAATGTTGGGCTCTTTGCGCGCCCGTTGGCAGGGCTGCTTTGCGATGATTTGCACGTTTGCCACTTGTCACGTGCCTGTTTTTGAGGGGCGTGCATGTTTAGATGTTCTGGCATCAACACATCTTTCTGGACATATGATGCAGGCTATGAGTTTGGCAATCGAGGAACAATCGCCGCGTCTAGAGACCATGAATACTTACACCTCGATGCTCGGCCCAGCTGAGGCGCATGCATTTGTGAGTTTGGTCGCGGCTCCCACACTTGGGAGGGAGGACCGCGGCTGCCACATCTCCGCATTCGCGGGGCCTTCCCGGGGAACATGCACAACATTGCGGTTATCGCATGGTGCCCAGAACAGATGCCCGTGCTCCGTGGTTGTCTTCGTGCTGACCTTCCAGGAAACGATCGCGGTGCGGATGTGGGTGGGCCCTGGGGCCTTCTCTGAGTTTTCGTGGGGGAGTCTTGGCCATCGTGGAGGTCCTGCGGCCGTCTTTGAAGGCCGCCTCGGGGGTCGCTTGGGCCCCTTGGTACTCTGAAGCCTTCTCGGGCCCATCTTGACAAGACGAGCAGTACGGGCACGCAACGCGTCAGACAGCGTTGCCTTGGGACTCCCGGAGAGCTGGCGCAGGGCTTAATAGGGACACGTTGTTATGTTTTCTGAGGCTCAGGCTTCTCGGGGACATCCTACAGCCTATTCGATGTCGTTTGTCCGTCGACGACCAGTTCGCGTGCCCCTGTGAAGGGAATCATTCGAGGCTTCGTCAATCGCACTCGCGGGGTGGCGTCCTGCAGCCAATTCCTCGACGCGAGATTGTGCCAAGAATGTGTGCGCAGGGTGGTGTGTGCGCACGGAGTATCGGCAATGTGCCCGCACCCCTCCACACATTTTGAGAGTTTGTCCCAAGGGAGGGACCTAAGTTTGCCTGATACCGCTGCCGTCCTCCACTTTATGTGAGGTGGCGGTATGAGAAAAGTGCGCCCTCCTTTCCTCCATCACCACCCTGCTCCATCTGACGACGTCACCGTCTACAAAGCCCTGGTTTCGAGCATCGGTTTCAAGCTTGGTAGCTGCGCCGCTGCAGCCGCGGCTGACCTGGTCACCACCGCCCTGGCATACGACTTGCACGGTGGCGGGTACCCGCGGGACTTCGCTAACAAGCGCGACGCGGTCAACCTCGAATTCGGCATCCATTTGGGCCCCCCCCCCAGCGCTACCATTGCGCCCACTCCCCCGACCACGTGGATTTCCGACGCGCGAGGAGATTCGACCGACAAGAGTAAGGTCTTCCTCTCTCCTCAACCACTACGTCAAGCGCCCGACCGCAAGTACGACGTCATCTACTTCCAGTATTCCTTCCACGTCGAGCGCGCGGGGACCACCGACCGCTACTACGAAGTCTACGACGTCCACCACTACTTCCTCGACTACGACCTCATCCGCCTGCGCTCGTGGAGACGCGAACGACCCCTGCACTTCCGACCTACAGGATCGCTGACTCGCGAACCTTTCGCTGTCCCCAGCCGCTCGTGAAAACGCGACAGGTGCAATGTCTACTTCCAGAACTACTTCGGCCTCTTCTACCTTCCTCAACAGGGTGCACGTCGCTTATAGATCACCCAAGGAAGGGCTACCCTAGGGCTACCCCTAGGGCCTACCCCTAGGGCTACCCTAGGCCTACCCCTAGGGCCTACCCCTAGGGCTACCCTAGGCCTACCCCTAGGGCCTACCCCTAGGGCTACCCTAGGCCTACCCCTAGGGCTACCCCTAGGGCTACCCTAGGCCTACCCCTAGGGTCTACCCCTAGGGCTACCCTAGGGCTACCCCTAGGGCCTACCCCTAGGGCTACCCTAGGGCTACCCCTAGGGCCTACCCCTAGGGCTACCTCTGGGGCCTACCCCTAGGGGTACCCCTAGGGCTACCCTAGGGTGTCCAGTAGGGCCTATCCTTGGGAAGCCTAGGGCCTTCAGTATGTGTAATCCGCCACACAAGCAAGCAATGCCTGTAATGTCCCGCCCGCCCGCCCGACAAAAGGAAGCAGCTTGTAATCCGCCATAATAGTAATCAACTTGCAATCCGCTGCCAAATGGAATCACTGTGTAATCCGCCACGAAAGCAATCAATGCATTTAATGTCCCGCCCGCCCGCCCGACCAAAGGAATAAGTTTGCAATCCGCTGCCAAAGGGAAGCCATTTGTAATTCACCACACAAGCAATTGTTGCCTTTAATGTCCCGCCCGCCCGCCCGGCAAAAGGCGCCCGACCAAAGGAATAAGTTTAAAATCCGCTGCCAAAGGGAATCCATTCGCAATTCACCAAACAAGCAATCATTGCCTTTAATGTCCCGCCCGCCCGCCAGACAAAAGGAATCAATGTGCAATCTGCCACAATAAGAATCAGTTTGCCATCCGCCACACAAGCAATCAATGCCTTTAGGGCCTACCCCTAGGGCCTACCCTTGGGCCTATCCCTAGGGCTACCCTCCCTCTGCGCGCGGCCGACTCTGAGCCTAGGGTAGCCTACCCCAGGGGGGGGGTCCCAGAGGGGGGGTCGGCGAGAGAGGTCCCAGAGGGGGGGTCTGCGAGGGGGGGTCAGAGGGGGGGTCAGCGAGGGGGGGTCCCAGAGGGGGGGTCAGTCGAGGGGGGGGTCAGGGTCAGCGAGGGGGGTCAGCGAGGGGGGGTCTGCGAGGGGGGGTCAGCGAGGGGGGGTCCCAGAGGGGGGGTCTGCGAGGGGGGGTCTGCGGCGCCGGGGCCGCGGTCGCCGGGGGGCGGCGCGGGCGCCCTGCCCTCGGAAGGGGGAGCGGGGGGGGGGGAAGCAGGGGATCGAGGGAGTAGCGAGGGAGGAGGAGGAGGTGGAGGAGGAGGAGGAGGAGGAGGGGGAGGAGGAGGAGGAGGAGGATGAGGAGGAGGAGGAGGTGGCGGCGGAGGCGGAGGAGGCGGCGGGAGCAGGGGGGAGGGAGGAGGCGGGCGGACGGAGTGAGGAGGGAGGAGGGAGGAGGCGTGCGGAGGGAGGAGGGAGGAGGAGGAGGAGGAGGAGGAGGAGGAGGAGGAGGAGGAGGAGGAGGAGGAGGGGCCCAAGCCCAGACCTCCTCGAAGACCGAGGGCCGAGCAGGTCTTCGTCGGTCCTCGGCGTCTCCCTCGCGTCGGCGTGCGCTCAGGAAGGCGCGCCCCGCCGGGCACGCTCCAGGCCCAGACAGTCGTCGTCGTCGTCGTCGTCGTCGTCGTCGTCGTCGTCGTCGTCGTCGTCGTCGTCGTCGTCGTCGTCATCGTCGCCCTCCGCCTCCCCCTCCTGCTCCTCCTCCCCCTTCTCCTCCTCTTCCACTCCCACTCCGCCACAAAGGGCATCAATATGTAATCCGCCAGCAAAGCAAGCAATGCCTTTAATGTCCCGCCCGCCCGCCCGACCAAAAGAATCAGCTTGTAATCCGCCACAATAGTAATCAACTTGTAACCCGATGCCACATGGAATCACTTTGTAATCCGCCACCAAAGCAACCAATGCTTTTAATGTCCCGCCCGCCCGCCCGACCAAAGGAATCAGTTTGTAATCCGCAATAAAAGAGAATCCATTCGTAATTCGCCACACAAGCAATCATTGCCTTTAATGTCCCGCCCGCCCGCCCGACAGAAGGAATCAATGTGTAATCTGCCACAATAAGAATCAGTGTGCCACCCGCCACACATGCAATCAATGCCTTTAGTGTCCCGCCCGCCCGCCCGACAAGAATAATCAGTTGATAATCCACCACACAGGGAATCAATATATGTAATCCGCCACCAAGGCAACCAATGCTATTAATGTCCCGCCCGCCCGCTCGACCAAAGGAATCATATTGTAATCCGCAATAAAGGGTTACCCCTAGGGCCTACCCCTAGGGCTACCCTGGGGCTACCCCTGGGGCCCACCCCTAGGGCTACCCTGGGGCTACCCCTTGGGAAGCCTAGGGCCTTGGGTAGGGCCTACCCTTGGGAAGCCTAGGGCCTTGGGTAGGGCCTACCCTTGGGAAGCCTAGGGCCTTGGGTAGGGCCTACCCTTGGGAAGCCTAGGGCCTTGGGTAGGGCCTACCCTTGGGAAGCCTAGGGCCTTGGGTAGGGCCTAGGGTAGCCAAGGCCCCCGGTGATCTATACCGCACGTCGGGGATGGCAGCGCGGTCTGCTCGCGGTGGCTGCGGGGGCTATCGTTGCGAGAAGGTGATTAGACACGAGGTCCCACCTGGGACCATGCTGGGCCTGTCCCACGCCGAGCGCGGATGCGTCAGGCCCCCGCCGGTTAGGCATCCATCCAGGGCGGATGGCCCCATCCCAAGAGGCGGCAGTTCTGCAGCGTGGACTTCAATGCCTCGCTCGAACACCGGCGATGCGGACACCTCCAGCCGTCGTCAATCTCGGCGCGGAAATCAACGGATTCCGCGCCGACCCAGCGACGCATCTCCTCTGCGACCTGGCCCGGGGATTCGAAAGCCTGGAGGGCGAGAGGCAAATCCTGCAGGGCCTCGAGCTGAAGGACTTGTCGCGCGCGGCCGAACGAGCACATCGACAGCGTCTTCGCCAGGTGGGAGACCGCCAGGATGGGGGCAGTGTCCAGCGTCTGTCTGCCACCCTTGCGATGGCCTTTCGCGTGCCCCCCTGAGAAGTGACATCATTGCTGTGGCATGATGCCACGCAACCAGCAGCAGTGCGACGATCTCTTGGGGGCATTGCGCCGACGTCAGCACGCCACGCAACGCGCGCCCAGAAATATTGCACATCTGATATGGGGGGCCCTTCCAGCGCCGACGCTCTAGCGGCGGAAACGCTCGCGGCTGGCGAACGCCCGGGAGAACGTGACAACAGGGGCACCAGCTCCAGGTTCGCGGTCAAAGCCAGCTGGCCAGGGCGCCCAATGAAAATTGGCCGCCCGGGCCCTGCCCGCGACGCCGGCTGCGCCTTCAGTGGCGCCAGCAGCCGCGCCGTCGGGAAATCCTACTGGCGAGGGTGATAGCGGCGCGGACACGGAGACCATCTCCACCCATCGCGATATTCGCTCTACTGGAGGCGATCTTGCCGACATACCAGAGGACCAACGCGCGCCGGATTTTTTCGAACCAAAGCAGCTCCACCATTGCAGGCGGCGGCGCTGCGCGCGCAGGCCTGTCCGCCGAACCGGCCGCTTTACGGGGCGCGCCCTCGAGGGCGAAGGGCGCGGAGGCCGGGGGGTGCGGGGGCGCTTCGCCGACGAGGGCGCGCAAACGTACGCCAGAGCCTTCACCGCTGAAGCCCATGAGGAGCTCTCCCTCGGGGGGCGCGGCAAAGGGCGAGGCGGGGGCGCCCGCGACAGGTCACGATCATCGGGGAATAGGGAAGGGCCGCGGGCAGAACCCGGTCGGCCAAGATGGCCAGATCATCATGTGCCAGAACTGCGGCCCACCTCTCCGCCCTGCTCGTGAGCGCCCTCATCCACCGGGCCAACCACTGCCCACGATATTGCATTGACAGGCCTCGTCGGGTACCTCGACTTGCTTGAATGCAGCCGCTAGGAGTACCTCTACCTCATCGAAGCCACCGAGGAAGGCTCCTATCTTGCATTCCACGGCGCGATGGGGCACTACCGGTTGGACACATTCGATTCCATTGACGGTTGGCTCGCGGGCGTGAAACCGCACCGTCGCGGCTCCGACGACGACCGCAATCGCCGGCCCGCGGGCGCGCGACCCGAAAATCACGCCCCCAACCGCGAGTCGTTAAATCCGCGCCACGCTAGTTTCGAGGACGAATATGTTCATGGCACGTATTGCGAGGTGGTAGACGGCGCAAAGTCGGACCTGACCCAACGGCGCCCTCCGCGCGCCTTCGGGACCTTGGCTTTTTTTCCTCATAAAAAAGCTGACGAGCCTGAGACCATTCACCTCTGCTCTCCTGGCGAGTGGCTGCCACGACGGAATCCATGGGGCACGGCCCCACATGGCCAGTGCTCGCGCAACACCCGGCATGCACTTTCGCACGCGTGGCGCAGCGATGTTCTCACTGAGGCCCCTCGTACATAGGCCCTCGCGCGACGTCGGAGAGTCGCCATGCAGGCAGAAAGAATGACTCGCATGGAATATCGCCACCCCAATCAGGAGCGCAGTCATCTTGATCACTCAAATTACAACACCGACGGCGACGATGACGACGCCCTTGCGAGGGACGAGTGGGGCCGCGCATCTGCAGTACAGCGGGCTGACTCGCCCTGCAACCCGCGCGAGCCTGGCTGCGGCCAGGATCCGCCGGATACTTTGGATTCGGCCCGAGGGGAATACGGCGGCGATGGGGAACATGTCTCGGGCTCTTGGACATGCTGGGGGTTCGCAGTCTGTGCTCTGGAATGCAGTCCAGGAGCAGGAGACAGTCTTTTTTGGATCAATGTATGAGAGGTTTCCATACATGCGTCGCCTGCGTCGATAACGCCACCTCAAGGGGCGCCTTACATCGATGGCGCAGATGGCGCGCTGGACGTTCCTGCTCGCCACCGCGCAGCTCGCCTCGCGACCCGGCCCTGGGAACAGACCCGAGGTG